TCGGCGAATTCATAAAGAGTCAATTAGAAAGCGTGCTTTTGGCCATTTTATGGGAATTTTCACTGAAGAATGTGTCCATCATTAGAAAACGAGCTGATTAGTCCATGTATTACGTATGGTGAACTATCGTATGCCGAACATAGTGTTTTTTCCTTGCCCAGTTCAGAGTGGCGGAAGCAAAGAGGTGGCCAACCCTTGACCTGGCACAGGGAAATGAGAGTATGAACCATTTGCGTACCGTCGGTGCTCCTCACCTACCAGGCTGGGGACCGCGTGATTCCCACTGTGCCTACTTGGGACGCTGAAAGATATGGCTGCTGATCGATGTCGATGGCGTTTTTGTTAGTTTCTATCCAGATTGCCTGAATGAGTGTCTGGAGGTCTGGACACCCCGGAATGACTGCATGAAGGTAGCACTACGTCCCTTCTATGTCCACCTTTATGCTTTCCTTCACCGTAGGCTTTTAACTTAATCATGGGGGCGAGAAGGCTCAGTGGTAAGAGCGCGACTTTACTAACCGGAAGGTCCATGGTTCGAATTCAACCTCTACCTCTCGACTCCCTCTGTCTAAACGTGGGCAACCTGGCAGTATCCCAACCCTCGTGCTTCGTTCTGGTGGCACGGCAATTGTGCACCGAAGGGGTGCTACAGCTGGATGTTTTTTTCAGCGATTTTTAACTTGAGGATGGTTAGACAGCATTGAGGAATCAGTGTTAAACACTGATGTCATGCAGTCCATAATGCGGTGATCTCTGTTAATATGTGAAAACGCCATGAACCGACGGTTCGTATCCAACCATCTTCAAAGAAACCGGGGGATCTGTCAAAACTGCTGCTGTATGGAGTGAGAGAAAGTACCTGGAGACTAGGGTACATTAGCAGTCCCTTTTGTCTTGAAAATGGTGTTCGAGCACTGTGTGTACACCATCGTGTTATTTTCCTGGTACTTATGCTATCGGATGTCCTCTCTGGTCTTGCCTTCGAGGGTTACCTGAACACGGAGAGATAGGTCAGTGAAAATCACGCCAAGTTCCGCCCTTAAGTAGGATGCATCGATCGTATATTCACCCTCCGCTGGATTCTGGAACAGAGGTGCAGAGAGTTCGAAGGGGTGATGAAAAAGTGCGACAAAGGTGTAAGAACACCACATGGTACCGAAGTGGCTTAGTGATTAGTGCGCGAACATACTGGCCGGAAGGTCTGTGCTTCGAACCCAACCCTGGCACGTTGACTGCTACTGTCTAGGCCTGGTCAACCTGGTGGTATCGCAGCCCTCGTGCTTCATTCGGTTGATTTATTCCGTGCTGATGTCCCAAACCGGTTTCACACCAACCAATTGAGGCAGAACCCAGAAGTCCACTGCAATCTGTAAAAATCTGAGCTGGGGAAAACCCATCGAGGCTGATGAGGCGGTGGTGTTTCAAGACAATTGGATGTTATAACTTCATTAGCTGGGGAGATTCAGGCTCACAGACTATTGCCCGAGCTGAGTGGGTGGAATGGAGGGTAGACAAGCCAATGGCCAACTAAACTTTTGTTGTAACTATTGTGCCCAGCAACGTAAACATCGGTTCTTATCAGTTGTTAGACTTCCGGTATTGTCTTCAACCTGGTCACTTGGTTTTGGGTTTTTGGGTAAGCTTCCGAGCATTCGCCGGTGCATTAGCTCCCATTTCATGAGCTTTGTGGTCCCGTCGCATCTCCATGCGCACCTAGACTCATATACTACCATCGAGTTCATACATAGACAGGAAGGTGTTCAGCGTACTGAACTAGAGCCTTTGGCTGAAAACCCTAGTCATAGGTCTGCTGTGGTTTGCGTTATACTATCACACAGTACTGTACTTGTTCCGGCTAGCAACATAAGGTTCCAGAGGACCCCGCTTGTCAGACCGCTCTCGACGGACCAGCCTTATAGGCGACTTGCGGCTGTTCCTTTGTCTGAGTTACATAAGCCGCCGTATTACGATCAGGTGTGGTCTCTTTGTGATTACCAAAGTCAAACAAACTCATTGGTTTCACCTTCCGTTCCCGTCAACTGGCCGGATTTCTCTTGTCATCCATTTCTGGGTAGAGATTCTCAAAGCCGCACGCGATATCGGGACTTCTGTCTAGGACAGAGCCCAGGCAGTCTCGTCCAAGCATTGCATCTATACTGCCTTGGTGGGGGCTCAGTCAGCAGACTACCAGTAGGACTGATTGCAGTTGCATGCCGATAAGCTTGGTGGGTCTGAAGAAGAAAAGAAAATTGCCGAGAATTCTTGTTGACTGTTACAGTGCAACAGGCCCTTGGGAGCCTCTTTTGAGTTAAGCTATCATGGATCACAACCGAGAAATCGTTCAACCGTGGGATCTCTTCGGTGAGTAGCTGGTCTACGAAGACAGCAAAAAGGCTGAGATATTACCAGATTACCTAACCCCTTCCAATAACAATCGACATTCAGCAAGAAACGTCAAAATCATCGTGCAGAAAATTTCGAGTCACATTTCACTTGGTTACCTGCTAATTTCCATCCGGACTAACGGTCCCTAACTGAAACGTGAACGTTGGAAATTAATGTATCTCCACACTCCAGCATAACCTGGTTTCTGGTCTGGTTGACCTTTCACCTGTTCTGCTCAGGAACCGTAGTGGATTTCTCAGTCATTGCCTGTATAACTTATTTTGGTTTATCTATAATAGAGGCAACGAGTGGGTCGATAATAGCCTCCGTCTTCAAAAGGACACTCGCAGTGAATGTGATGACCATAGAGGTGTCAGTCTGGCTCTGTTGCGAGGAGGTTTCTAGCCTTACGCAAACCTCGCCCTACAGCAGCAAGTGATCCATGAACTCGTGAGCGACGAGGCAAATCGTCACCGTATTGAAGCCGCATCGGCCACCTATTCACACTCTTCATAAGAATAACTGTCATTTTGAGTGTGTTGGTTTCTTAAACCTGGTACTTCATACAATCGTGTTGTAATTGTACAGTCTCAGCGTGGCAGTCGTTCAGCTGTGACAACCTTTTGGTGTCTAGCTACCATGCCTCCCGAAGAAAGCACGAGAGCTGAGATACTGCCCAAACCTAGACAGGAGCAGTGGAGATGCCGAGGTGGGTTTCGAACCAGGAACCTTCCGTTGGGTGAATTCGCGCATTAACCGCTGATCTATTTCTTCTTTTTCTCAACATGGCGTTGGGACATGGACTGTTTTCGTCTGGTTAAGCTGTTCATCGTGGGTTTCAGTTTCTTATATGTCGCTTTTTGCGCATCAGTCCTCAAGTAGCTTTGCGTTCTGGGTCACCCACTCACATGCTTATTTCTCGTTTCATAATCAGAAATACTACCTGATGGAACAGTACAACGAGGGGCGAGATGGCCCAAGTGGTTAGAGCGCGAATTTACTGACCGGAAGGTCCGTGGTTCGAATCCGACCTCCGCCACTCGCTTCCCCTGTCTAGGCTTGGGCAACCTGGCAGTATCCCAGCCCTCCTGCTTCCTTCGGGGGGCATGGCAGCTAGGCACCGGAAGGGTGCTACAGCTGAACGCTTTCTTTCTTTACAACGAGGGGAAACACTTACCGTGTAAACTTTGTGGGTCCGAGCAATCAGTATCATTTCAGATGGGGTGGCTGTATTGTGAGCGTATCCCATATGAAAAATGGAGTGCCCACAGGCACTTTGCCGAAGTAATCTACCGATCCGAAGGATCTAAAGCTATGCTAGGCTAATTTGAGATACGTTGCTCGAGGTCATGATATATTGGAAGTTTTTTCACTCATAGGGACTAACATTGTGTTGCAATCAGTAGATTCTTTAAGCTTGTAATGGAGCGCATCACCGTTGGATTTCTTCAGGTGGTACCACGCCGTCTAATAAGCACCAAGAGGATTTCCCAACCTCATCTTACATTTGCACAAACTTATGGAAGTCGATGCAGGTGGTGTTTATACTACGAAAGAGCTTACAGTGACACGTCCATTACCGACCTCTCTGCATCAGTCGCGGCTTACGTTGATTTTTTAACGTGGATTGATGCCACTTTCCATATCTTACCATGTTTACACTGTATCACAGTATTTTCGCAGGTTCTTCTCACCCGACAAGATTCAGGCTATTTTACTTGATGTGGCGATGCGATGTTTTGAAGTTGCTCGTTCTCATTGCGACATTGCATGCTCGTGCGCGACTTTTGCTCTAAAAGGAGTGTTGTATCAAATCACTAGTAAACTGATCACAATAGCCATAAATTTGTTGCCGATCTGTTTGCCTGAAACATGTTACGAATTCCTCTAACGGCTTTCGATAACGCTTAATTTTTTTGGTTTATTAGTTCTCCTCGAGTTACTTGATGCAAATGTCTTCAGCGTTTAAGGAGATAGTAGCAAAGATGTGTTTTTAAGCTGCGGATAATTTGTCATTTGAGCAGGTCTATCCACCATCCTTCATCCAATGCTTCCTGTTACTCTTTAGCTAGTACATTTTTGGAGCCCTTAATTCCAGTACCTATAGCTGGTGATGGGAGTGGAGAGCAATTGTGCTTACGTGCGAAGCATCATGTAAAAATATTTCCGGTAGTGTCCTCATAGCTATAAAGGTCTCACTATTCAGAATATTCACGAGATGATACACTCATTGTGGATGCCATCCGTGTGTTACGCTCTCTAGGACGTTCCTGTGCTTCGCAAGGAACGTTTGGAAGTTGTGTAACACGGTTGCTTATTAAGGGAGATAGGCAAGTTCCAAGGCTTCGAACATTTAAGGGGCTTGAGGTCTAGTCGGGATACATGAGTATCCTGGTTAAGCGATTTCACACCTCGTGACTTCTCAGCATAGTTTGCATTTCGCCATGGACTCCAGGTCGAATTTGGCGAATTCCTTGTATTCCCCCTTCTTTGAAACGGATTATTTGCTCAATTTTCTCGTTTGACACTCGGTTTTTTAATTTTCAGCACTTTATGTAACCTCCGTTCACTCGGAAGATTACTAATACACCTTTGGCCTATGCATATCCTAAGTCATGGCTGCAGCTGTGGTCAAACAGTGTCAGGAGGAGAGCACTGAAGACACCCCTTATGAACTTCATCCGTTACAAGATTCGTGGTCCTATTATGTATACTTGTACAAAAGCAATGGACTATGGGACGAGTGCCTAAACAAGGTGTCTACCTTTTCCACCATCGAACAGTTTTGGGGTGTGATGCTGCACACTATCCCTCCTTCGACGCATGCATACGGAACAGATGTTTACATGTTTCGTTCGGATATACAGCCCAGTTGGGAGGATCCGAAGAACGAGTCTGGTGGGCGGTGGCTCCTCAACCTTTCTCCCACTAGCCCAGTGGATACCTACTGGGAAGAACTGTTAATACTGTTGATAGGCTGCGATTGGGAGACAGATGAACAGGCGGAACAGATTTGTGGTGCTGTGTTTCAGCCACGCGCTCGGGGTCACAAAATGGCTGTGTGGCTTTCGAACGGCGAGGACAAGGATTCGATCCTGCAAATCGGAACTCGAATCAAGGAGCGACTGAACTTCCCCGATCAAATCTACTTCCAAACAGTGACCGAACAGAAATCCCTCGGTCGAGGGAAAGATATTACCAGTGGTACATATGTATTGTAACCCTAGAATTTACTCCCATATCAATGCTGTGGTTATTGCTCCTCAGAACCAGTTCATCTGGTTTGTATATATATCTTCCTTATTTCGTTGATCATAGGTTTTTTGTTCAAGTATGTTTTTCCACGAATTGCTATGTGTGTTCAAATTTCCTCCTGGTCTTGGTTCCATTCGCTCATCGTTCCTCGTTAGAAGGTTCCTGTTACCGTTCACTATCTCGTTACACTCGTTTTTTTGGATGTTGATAGTGAGTTCTGGTCCTTTCAGTATCTGTTTGCGGGCGAGCGAGATTTGCGCTTCTAGAAATCGGCTTCTGTTTTAACTTTTCCTTCAATTATGGGATTCCTCCGCGTATGGTTTTGGTGCAAGATGTGCCTCCAGTTTCACGGGAGCCTAGTTCGGATAACCCGAGCGTAGCAGTAGCAAATTTTTATCTAGTGATAGGTATGCCTTCATTTTCCTCATATTTTACTTGAAGCTGCCTCGGTGAATGCCACGATTACCATGCCTTCAGCCGTTTTAGAAGCGTCTTGTGCACAGCACGGCATCACTTGGAATCGATTATTTGATGTCTTTAGGGGGCGAACAACCGTCTATTCCTCTGGGTTCATGTTTTAAGTAAGTGGCGCTCCGTCTTTGGAGGGCTGAAAAATGTACTGTTCTGACGAGCGTCGGTGTAATGAGAAGACCACTTCGCTAGTGGACTATGGACGTTCCTGTTCGTCGTAACTCAGGACCCACTATAACTAAGATGACGGACTTCGGCATAACACCCACTATAACTAAGATGACGGACTTCGGGATAAACTTGTCAGTTAGCGGATCTTCGCCAAGAGGGTCGAATGCTTATTCACATACACCGGGTTTGTACGTTGTAGGAATAAAGGTTGAGTGGCAACAAGGCCTAATTGTCATACGACGCTACTCTTTGGTGCAGCAGTCCAGGAACTATACTTGGGATATTTCCGGGTTGTTCAGCGTTGGACACCTACAACTGAAGAACTAGATTTGGTTCAAGCACTACTCGGCTGGCTGCTTGTACCTTATTCTCAGCGACACTGTGCTCAAGGGTGAACAGTGACGTGAGAATGTAGTTCAGCCCAATCACAGTTGCACTACCATATAATGAATAACAGCATAATATTTAGTCATAACGGATGTTTGTGTGAACCGATTTATCAGGTCGGAACTGAAGTATTGATACACACCAGCGGTAAAGATGCTGTTTGTTTTTCAAACTTTCTGGAAACACTCTTTTCCACCAATTTACAGCAGGCTATAAGTTTAAAGTGCTCCTTTTCCGGAAAGACCATCCTCTGTTGCGACCACGTCTAGTCGGTCCCTTGAAATATATTTCACAGGTAAATTCACTCCTGCTAGAGAAGTGCAAGACCATTTTAGGTTGATTCTTCCAGGTGGCCGCTTGGGACGTAGACAACCGCTTAGGGACCGCGGTTGCCATTGTCATGGAGGGGTCAAGCAAAATTATGAGTTCTTTGATTAATTCGTCATTTTTACGGGATCCCGTTTACAGCCTACCAAACGAAAAGGGTCTAGACGAACAGACTTACTGTGCACAAACAGCTCAAGATCGGATGCATAACAAATCTTTGGAGAAAGCCAAAGGGGCCTTCGTTCTAAAGTGTCCGGGTCGGTGTTGTTATTTCCATACGTGTGTCAAATGGATTCACGCTTTAAAAACAAATCTAGGATGAATGGCTTGTCCCACGGAACAACCGTCTCCCGGACTTTTAGAGTCAGGTGGTTATCCACCATGATCTTTTCAGGTTATCAGCCCAGGAAAGTGGTTCTGAAACTTGTGAATCACTAGGAACTCGTCCTCCCTGATTTCTATTCTTTGTTTTTGTTACCCACTGACATTCTCATAGCTCGCTGTTTGCAGGTGTGCGGCTAGGATCTGTGCGTTGGTCCCGGAAGATGGGTTTCGACCTGTTTGATACCACGCAATGAGTTTCTGTGTGGGTAAGAGGTAGCGCATTGCGCTTCCTATGTGCACAACAACATCCTTTTCTGCGTTCAGCCACACTCGCCGAGGGGTTGTACTTCCATGTATGTGAAGTCGAAACACTTTCTCGGAGCTAAAATAGCCAGTCTTATTGCCTAAAATGGTGATGCCCCAGTCCAGCGGGGCATTTCTGTCTTGTGCAGAGCAGGTTCTCCGATGCAGTGGCGATCAGTTAGATAATGTGGGTGCTATCCGACGGGCTCGCAACCATTAGTTTGAAATTTGTCCCATATTGTCACAATCAGGTGTTGCCTTAAATGAAGCCGAAGTGAATGGCCAGGTGGGGTGATTCCTCAGTTCATCTTGTGTTCAATTTTGAACATTATAATGCGACTGTTTTTCACCCAGCTGCCTTATACATCTAGTCCCTGTTGTCTTTCATTCTGTCGTTAGGACGGTAATATACACGGTACCAAGATCGTTCTTTAAATGTTCTTGGTAAATACCCATCTTATCTGTTCTTTCAAAGACTGTCATACTCTATGGTGTAGCCAAAGTGAAAAGTCAGCTCCCACTGAGTTAGTTTCGACGTGTTCACACGTTGGTCAGGATGACTGAAACGACAGACAGGATTATACAGAAAGATACTATCATTCTACAAGAATTCACAGCACGTGGTACCTGTCATCAATGGTCTCCAGACGTGTGAATTTGTTTTAACATTGTCGTCATAGCTACCGCGTCGGTTACATCGCACTCTGCTCGTTCTCATTTGGTTTCTTCACTAAGGCTCTGAGTCATCATCATTATCAGCTGTAATAACCGCGTACTGGTCGTACACTGGTTGTAGCTGCCACAGTTTCGTTCACCGATGATTGGGGGGTAAGTAGCTGCGCATTGCACGCGCGAGCTGGTAAATTGGTGCATAAATGGGCCATGTCTGATAATGTCTCTAGCCATTGATGTGGCCCGTCTCGGGGTCCCCATCCAGGAAGACGGCAGTGACCAGCGCAGCTGAGTTTGCTGGTAATGGCCTTCATACTTCGCTGCCAAGTCATTGTTTGACCGCCTCTGGCTCTCTTCCACGCTTCACATGGTTGGGCGAAAAGAGCCTTTCGAGGAAGTCGGTCGATTGGCATACGCAGCACGTGGCCAAGCCAACGCAACCTGTGCAGTGTGATCAATTCATCTGAGTAACGAACTTCGGGTAACTGGTATGTAAGTCCCATAATCAGGTTCATTGGTTTACCGACTGTTTGTTCGAGCATTTTGTTAAAATCCACTGACGATTAAAGCGAAGTTACGCAATGGCGTACAATGATGCGTTCTTTACCATTTGAGTTTTCCGCAATTTTAGAAGTTAGCTGACCACAAGTTTCCTGTTAACTCTTATTTCTTTCGAAACCAGAAGCATACAGTGATTTACTTGAATATATTTGTACATATATGTATATATTCGTAATAATGGATATATGTATGTATTTGTATAGCTGTATATATGTTCGAATCCACAGTTAGTTAATACTGATGGACGTGGAGGTAAATAGGTGCAGTATATGTAAACGGAACTGTGTGCCGTATAATGGACGAAGTAACCGGCTTTACGTTTGTTGTTCGGGTGCTAAAATTTGTTCGTCACTCGGTTCTGATGACAATTGCGCGTATTTGTCAATCCTCAAAACAGTCCTAAGACTCGCGCGCTCTAAAGGACCTTCATGAGCGTCGTAAGTGGAATTGCGGAGGCGTTGGCTAAGTTTCGCTCTGGGGATCAGTACATCACAAAATCAACATCCGAAGTAGTAGTACTGGTAACTTTCTGGAATAACTGATTCAGCTTACAGTCATGGCGCTCAGTCGTCACGTCCCAAACGAATGTGACACCTTTCTGAAGAGCATCTGGGGCATGAAGTTCATAAAAAGTCCTGTCAGTTTTCGAACGAATTGAATGCTGGGCCTCCCTTATAGCCTGAAGGCTAACTGAAACCTTGGACACCGTGTCCAAAGTTTTCAGTCAATTTGGGAAGGCATGTCCATAATTATTCCTCGATTCTATTGAACAATACGTAATTGGATGCACTGCTACCAGGTGGAAACTTGTTGTTTTAGTCGCAAAATTAGTCATATCGAGCCTCAGGCCTGATGTGAAAATCGATATAATCAGCCTAGGACACCTCCACCTGGAGAGGTACATCCACTATAGCCTATCTGAACGCCCAAACAGATGTTTTCATCAGCTATTGTGCACTCCGCCCATGGCTCATGTGGGTCTTACATTTGTGCAACTGATGTAAGTTTTGAGACGAACGAATTAGCATTTGCCCTAGCACCTTTAGATGCTAATGCATAATCAGAAGTTGACTTCATTTTCGCCTCTCGGAATGCCTCATCAATCACACAAAAAAACGAGTCAATTTTTTAGTCACTGTTCCAGGTCACTCCGGGGTGTAACCAAACGAAGCGGCGGATAATTTCATAAAGTTGCTGAAAGCTCTTTGACGGCCCGCGACCGGTTTCACTCTTCCTGGAGCTCATCAGGTAGGCGCAGTCCCCGATTTTCCGTCAACCTTCTGTTCTACTTGGACCCAAATTGGACTGATTTCGACAAATACACTCATGTGCAAATCAATTTGGTTTTCACGGTAGACTTACGTGAATCTCTTGTTTATGGTGTTCTTCAACTGAACGTGCTTCACACAGGCCGCCTCATGTTTTAGGTGGTTTGATATTCGAGATATCCCAGTATATTTTCATGAAGGAAAAGTAGATGATTTGTTGCACTGTTCCTTTGCTTATTTTATTAACTGCAACAAGACCTAGTTATCCACACAGCAAGACGTACTAGCTGCCTTTCAGTTACCATGGTACTATTGAACGGTCCACGCAGCACAGACACTTTACAGCTTTGCTAATACCCCCCTCTTGTATCACACGTCTTCTGCCCATCTCATCATTGCGAAGAAATACAAGACTTTCCCGGTAGAGAGAACTTCTTAACCTTTCTGGGAAGTGACCTCTTCGGAGTTATTTCATAGGGTCC